CCCCCCCACGGCTTGATACCCCAGCACGAAACACCTGGGTGTGCATGGGGGAGCTGCCCTTAGCCAGCAAACCCTGCCCTGCACTGGGGAGTCCTGCCATTCCCACACACTTTTCCAGTTCCTTTTCCCAGCCACGCTCTCGCTATAAACGAGCATCTCTGAATTTCTGAGCATTTCAAAGCGAATGGAAATGATGGGAATGCGCGGGCAGGATTACCCGGCTCCCGGGGAAGCACCCTGGTGATGGCTGCGGGAACCTCGGGGGCAGAGGATGCCCGCAGGAGACAAAAGACTCCCTCAAGTTTGCTTTTAAAAAGCTTTTTTCTTCTTTTCTTCCCTTTCCCCCGCCGTTTAGCATCCTGCCTTCCGCGGCAGCTTCCAAATAAGTGGATAAATACAGCTGCTGCTTTATGGCTCCTTATCCAAACAACCAGTCCCAATCCTGCCGCCCTGGAACTTAATTGAAATCACACGTTCAAACCTGGGCAAGTGCTGAAGCCTCTGCCCTTCACCCCATCCCACCCCCCCTAATAATAATAATAATAATAATAATAATAATAATAATAATAATAATAATAATAATAATAATAATAATAATAATAATAATAATAATAATAATAATAATAATAATAATAATGTCGCGCCTGCCTCTGGAATTCCACTGTTGGATTTTGGGGGCAAACAGTGTGGTTTTTCCATCGGAGAGAGATATGGGGAGGGCTCTGGCTGTTCAGGGAACAGGTTCATGTGGTGGTTTTGGGGTTGGAGGAGCCGGGCTGGGACGGACACTGATCCAAAGGGATGAACCCCCGACCCAAAAAGCACCGGCTGACGTTTCCCTTTGGCTTCTCCCCCCCCTTCCTCGGCTGCCTAATGACTCGTCCTGCTTCCCATTAGTACTGTGTGCTCAGCTAATGCATTTCGGGTGGAAAGCTGGAAATTTTCACTCGCTGGTAATGACTTGGGAAATATAGCACCCAGCAGCCAGGCAGGGACCCCCTCCCCTCCTCCTCTGCCCCTTCCCCATCTGCCCCAGCCTTTGGCAGGAGCTGAGCAAGGGGGGAGATGAAAGGATGGGCCCTGATCCTAATTTTTTATATCTATATATATATTTAGTGGTGGCTTTTTAGCGTGGTTTGTTAAGTTTTATCCCAGGGTGTTTTGTTTCTTTAAAAAAGGGCAGAAAAGGGATGGGGGGGGGGGAATTTCTGAAGGGGTAAAAATAATAATAATAATTCCCAACAACAAACCACCACCACCAAAAAGCCCCCAGCTCTTTGTAAACATCCCCCCCCTGAGCAAAGGGAAGGGGGTGAAAAGCATTTCCTGATAACTCCATTAAAGAATGAGGCTGCATTAACATTCCAAGTACCTCGACAAGAGATGAAAGTGGGGAACTCGAGTTCAGCCTCTCCTTGCTCCAGATGTTATTATGGGCTCCCTGAAAGGGTTTTTTTTTATTTCTTTTTCTTTTTTTTTTTTTTTTCTTGCAAAGAGACAAAGATGTTGCCTACTTCAAACGAGGCTAATTGATGCTAATGACTATCAGATAGAGTGGGGGCTCTTGTTCCTCCCTGCCAAAGGGGAAGAGAGAGTGCATTTTACAATCCCCTCATAGAAAATGCCCCCTGCTCTTCAATCCAGGTTGCTGCTTCGGGGATTTTCCTTTCTCTCTGGCTGCTGCTTTCTCTCCTCCTCTTCCCCTCCCCACCCCCTTTTCCTTCATCTTCTCCGTCCCCCTTCTTCTGGGCACCCCGCGGTTCTCTCTTGTTTGCCCGTGAGAAATTTCACACCTTGCCTGCCTGGCTCCTTTTCCATCCCTCTCCAAACCATCCCCAGCGGGCGAAAGGGGCGGCGGAAATTTCCCCCAAAACCTACAGCACGTGAAAACGAGACGGGGAGGGGTTTTTTTGCATCTGTAATCCGGGCTGTGGGTCCTGCTGCAAGTGGGGGAAAAAACATCTGGACTGAGAGCATCTTCTCAGTCACGTCCCATTAAGGAGAAGGTGGGACCCGGGGCTCCTGGCACTGGGGAGGCAGAAGTGCTGGTGCTGATTAGGATCATTAGCCCAGCCCTGCCAACCTGAGGAGTCTGAAATCATGAGCTCATGACTTTTACTCTAAAAAAACCCCAACAAACCCCACCCAAAATGGGCTTAAAAATGAGATTTCTAACACCAAGTTTAGCTTTGTGTCAGGTTTTTGCAGGCAGTTCTCCTGTGATAACCTGTAATAATAATAAATAATGCATAATCCAGTTTAAAAAAAGGCAACTAAGATCATCCTCAAATCACCTGGCTCCTGGAGCTGGTGAGTTGCCCTTTCCCAAACTGGATCCCAGTGAAACCCACGGGGAGAGGGGAATGGGGCTTCATCTTCTCTGCAAAAAGAGGACAACTGATGCTTGTTCACTTTCTTCATCATGAAGTCAAGAGAAATTACTCAGGCTAATGACAATTACTGTGTTCTCTGTTCAGTTTGCCTTCCAGAGCCTCAGCTCTTTGTGGGGGCCCCATTAAAAGGCCCAAAGGATTGAGGGCAAGGAGCTGTGGCACAACCCTGTGCTTTGGGGGTGTCACACAGCAGTGGGAGCCCTGGATGCAGGTGCAACAAGAGCATGGCCAGTCTCCTGTGTCCCCCTGTGAGAGCCCAGCACAGGGAGAGCCACCAGCTCCAGGGAAATGCTTCTAGGATCATGGGTTTTGGTGAGACCCTGGCCCAGGTTGCCCAGAGAAGCTGTGGCTGCCCCATCCCTGGCAGTGTTGAAGGGCAGGTTGGATGGGGCTTGGAGCAGCCTGGGCTGGTGGGAGGTGTCCCTGCCCATGCAGGGGGGTTGGAACTGGATGATCTTTCAGGTCCCTTCCAACCCAAACCAGTCTGGGATTCTGTGGCTCTGTGATTTAGGAACAGAAGAGTTTTCCTCCAAGAAGGACACGTCCAACACTGACCTGCAGGAGGAGGCACCCGCGTCCTCTCCATCCCCACCACCTCACCCCAACGGGGGGTGGGCAAACCTCTCGAGGGGTTGATCCAACCTGTTCGTGCGATGGAAATCCCAACCCCACCCAGTGCAGGGCCCTTGGTGCCAGCCCGGGGGTGCGGGCAGGGGGGAGCTGGGCAGGCAGAGGACAGCATCCTTCTTCTCTCCCCCACCCCAGACAGCCAATACACACCCCAGCCGCCCCTCAGACACCGCTCCCGGCTGCATTGTCAGGTTAATTTGGGATAATGGCCTGCAAAGCACCTCAGCCCCATCCAGGTCTCATTAGCACTTGATAATATCAAGCATCCTGAGGAATTAGGGCTTTCCCCCCCTCCTCCCCAGGGCACAGAACCCTGCACCCAGCCCTGGGCAGGGTGTCCCTGGGGATGAGGACTGGACCTCTGCTCATCTTATTACTCCATCGCCAAGCTCGTGGGGCAAAGCAGCTCTTCCCCCAAAGCCCCGGGGTTTTCCGGTGATTTATCCCCCCAGGCTGGTATTTCCAGGCAAGACTTGAATTAAGCTCATGCTGCAGAGTGGCTGGATCCTGCCCCGGCTTGTCCGTGGGGAGAAGTTGTCCCTGATCCAAGCGAGATGACCCCTTGGTGTGACCCCCCCCCAGCCCTGGGTGTCACATCTGGCCTCGGTTCTCAGCCAGATGTGAAAAGAGGGACCTGCTGAATCGCACCACCCTCACCCTCCCCTCCCACCTGCTCGGGGTGCCCCCAAATCCAGCCGGGCTTGTGTCCACGGTGGGGCTACACCCGACTGACAACAAAGGCTGAGTGAGCCCCTCAAAAAACAGGCCAATACCCTCCCAGGAGCCCCCAGAAGCTGCTCCGGGATCCCCCACCGGGCACAGACCCGAGAACCGCGTTCACACACACGGGCTGCCATTGCAGGCAGGAAGAGCATCCCAAAACCAGGCGTTTAAAATGAATTGGGGAATTATAATCAAACCCCGGGTTCAGGCAGCCCTGGTACCAGCCTGGCTGCAGGATCAGCCCTCTGCTCCCTTCAATTATCTTTGTTTTTTTCCCTCCCGCATTGTTCTCTCCTAATGAGGAGACTAATGACCAAAGGATGGTTCATAAGTGGTTCCCAGACTCTCCTCGCCCAGGGCAAACACCGTCCACAATGGGATCACAAATTGTAGGGAGAAGCCCCGGCTGATCACATCAGCAACGGTGCAAGGATTTATCTCTCTGCCTTAACAATAACAGTATGTTCTTAATCGCCACTCCAAAGGGACAGCTAGCAGGGGACCTGCCCGGCCTCATCATTAAAAGCTGGCAGCATCTTTGCTAGCGCTGCCCCTTTGTTCATCTTTCATTATCCCGATGCTCCGGCCCCGTTAATTCCTCTCCATCTTATTAAATCAATAGAGATGGAGCCGAGGGGTGGGGGGGAAGGATGGGGAAGAGCCAAGGGTCGGATCCGGCTGGGCTCTCGGCAGGAGTGCTGAGCGGGATCAGGATCAGAGCCAGCCCGGAGAAGCGTGTCCAAAGCTCTTATTTACCCAGCTGGGGAAACTGAGGCACGGGAGTGGGGCAGCCTGAGCTTTTGGCAGAGCTGGGGGGCACTTTCCCCGCCTGCCTGTCCCGCACCTACCGGCGGGATCCTCTTACTCATCCCATATCGTCAGGGCTTACATGATTTAATGATTTAATCATCCTTTTTTTAAACATCACACTCCCGCGGGGGGTCCTGGTGCCGGGGTGCCCCTCCTACACCCCCAGCCCAGCCCAGAGCAGGGCAGCAGTGCCAGGGGGCCGAGGGATTTTGTGCCCCAAACCCTTTCCCCGGGGGGAAAGACGGGGCAACATTCCTATTTTCTCTCTCTTTTTCCTGCCAGTTCCTCTCACCCCAGCGAAACAAACTGGTTTCTGCCCGGTCCTGCCGTGTGGATGGCTGGGAGCAGAGCTGGGGAGGGATTTCCTCCCAGTTTTCCCAGTTTCAGGCTGGGATGGGAGGCGAGGAAGGGGCTGGGAGCAGGGGAGGCGGGAGGGGTGAGCACAGCAAGGAGACTGGGGGGCAAAGTCATAGCAAGGAGACTGGGGGGCAAAGTCATAGCAAGGAGACTGGGGGGCAAAGTCATAGCAAGGAGACTGGGGGGCAAAGTCATAGCAAGGAGACTGGGGGGCAAAGTCATAGCAAGGAGACTGGGGGGCAAAGTCATAGCAAGGAGACTGGGGGGCAAAGTCATAGCAAGGAGACTGGGGGGCAAAGTCATAGCAAGGAGACTGGGGGGCAAAGTCATAGCAAGGAGACTGGGGGGCAAAGTCATAGCAAGGAGACTGGGGGGCAAAGTCATAGCAAGGAGACTGGGGGGCAAAGTCATAGCAAGGAGACTGGGGGGCAAAGTCATAGCAAGGAGACTGGGGGGCAAAGTCATAGCAAGGAGACTGGGGGGCAAAGTCATAGCAAGGAGACTGGGGGGCAAAGTCATAGCAAGGAGACTGGGGGGCAAAGTCATAGCAAGGAGACTGGGGGGCAAAGTCATAGCAAGGAGACTGGGGGGCAAAGTCATAGCAAGGAGACTGGGGGGCAAAGTCATAGCAAGGAGACTGGGGGGCAAAGTCATAGCAAGGAGACTGGGGGGCAAAGTCATAGCAAGGAGACTGGGGGGCAAAGTCATAGCAAGGAGACTGGGGGGCAAAGTCATAGCAAGGAGACTGGGGGGCAAAGTCATAGCAAGGAGACTGGGGGGCAAAGTCATAGCAAGGAGACTGGGGGGCAAAGTCATAGCAAGGAGACTGGGGGGCAAAGTCATAGCAAGGAGACTGGGGGGCAAAGTCATAGCAAGGAGACTGGGGGGCAAAGTCATAGCAAGGAGACTGGGGGGCAAAGTCATAGCAAGGAGACTGGGGGGCAAAGTCATAGCAAGGAGACTGGGGGGCAAAGTCATAGCAAGGAGACTGGGGGGCAAAGTCATAGCAAGGAGACTGGGGGGCAAAGTCATAGCAAGGAGACTGGGGGGCAAAGTCATAGCAAGGAGACTGGGGGGCAAAGTCATAGCAAGGAGACTGGGGGGCAAAGTCATAGCAAGGAGACTGGGGGGCAAAGTCATAGCAAGGAGACTGGGGGGCAAAGTCATAGCAAGGAGACTGGGGGGCAAAGTCATAGCAAGGAGACTGGGGGGCAAAGTCATAGCAAGGAGACTGGGGGGCAAACTCATCCCAGCAAGGCTGCAGAAGCTGGGATGTGGTGGTGTTCTCCTCCCACGGCTCAGGATGCCCTTTTGTGTTGGGTAGGTGGGTTGATCCCCACTGCAAACAGGCAGCGTGGGACTGCCCGGCAGCCTCGGGTGAGCTTGTTTGATGTTTCAATCGGGAATGAAAAGGGGAGGGAGAAGAAGCAGAGGGGAAATGCTCTCTGATCGTTTAACAAGATTACATGATGAGACGGAGCCTGGGAGCCCCATGTCCAGGCTCTGGTCCTTCTTCCCCTCCTCAGCACACGGGAATAATCCCTTTTAGGAACTCTCCCCCCCAAATAAAATCAGGAAAAAGAGATTGCGAGGGCAGTGAGCCAAGGAGAAGGAGGCTGCGGGCTCGGGGGAGGGATGCAGAAGGTGCCTGGGAAGCAGCTGGGTGGGAAGGGGCTGGGGGGGTCCTGCTGCTCCTGCATCCAAATGTCCCGTCCCGCAAACTTCTCCCCTCCCGAGTCAAACTCGTGCGAACAACTCGTGTTCCCCGTCGCCGTGTG